AAAATTTTTTTGGAAGTTGATAATATCGAAGAAAATACGTATAATAAGATAAATTCTAGATCAGATAATTTTCAAAGATAATAGTATCAAAGAGAATACTCAAACTCGAAGTAAGCTTTTTAAATATAATATAATTTTATAAAATTTATTAATATAATTTTTTTTATTTATATATTTAATAGATAGTTCTTGTCCATTTTGTGCCGATTTATTACCAAATCCTTTACCAGAAAAAATACGATTATTATTAAGAAAAATTGCAAATCAGAATGGTACGTGTTATTGTTATGTTTTAGAAATGTACAACTTTTAGGTGTAACTTTAAGTACAACGTTATAATTTATTACAAAAATTTTATATCATATAGGCACTCCTACTTCTGAAGACAAGCTTGCTTTTTGTGAAATCCATCAGGCAGAGACCACTATTGTTTCTAATGGTATTCAAAAGGGCTATCTGATGCAAATTGATTTTGATTCGTTAGAGACTCGAATTGTTCAAATGAAGAATGAACTTCTTGATATAATTAATGGAAAGTCTAATAGTTATTATCATGATTTTGCTCTAAAAATTTGTAATGAAATTGGTTCAAGAAAAGCTAGTACTCCGATGGCACTAATGGCTCGTTTTGAAGTTCTAAGAGTATGTTAAAAGATTTTGTATTTAATCTACTTTATTATTAATTATTAATTTTAAATTTATTGTAGCCGGGGTACTATGGTCCATGCGGGTTAAATATTATCTGTGATGTTCTTTCTAAACTTTTTCTTGATACAAACTTTTTGACATATGATTTGGTTTATCCTAAAAAGCCAGTTGATTATTTACAAGAGGTATTAGTTCCTGAGACCACATTACGCTTAATTTTTCAAGATAAGGGTGGTTTGGAACTTGAATTAGCTCGAAAAATTATGGAAGATAGTGCTGACTTTGGCGATTATATACATTCAGAATAATATTGTATATGATTTGACGATTTGTTATTTTTTTTTAATAAATATTTGATTCGTAAGTTCTATAAGCAGTGTACTAATTTAAATGCTTACTAAAATTAAGATTATTTCGAATAATCAAAGATATCAAAGCAATAAATAAATATGTACTATATTTAATTCAGTTTATAAGACATTAATCGTCAATATATAAACCATTTTAAGATTTAATTAGTTTACATAATATATTTTGGTTATTTTCTCTATTTACATATATAATTTAATATATACAATTATCACTAAAATCTAAATTTTACTTAAACGCACTATATATATGTTATGTATTACTATATATCAAAGCAGCAGAATTACAAGAACTAAATAATGCTGGTGAATATTACAAAAATCTCGTATTAAATATAGAAAAAAAATCAATAATAAATTGTTAATATATAAATTTCTAATTTTAACTTATTCTAATTCGACGCATAACATAGAATATATAATGAATAAATAAAACTAAAATATAAAAGAATTTATCAAATAAATA